TCAGGAACATTGATCTAAGAAAAGTTGATCTGTAGTGACCCTAATATGTACTGGGTTTACCCTTAGAGATAGAAATATAAATAAGCTTCATACTCAGTATCATCTCAGAAAGTCAATAGTTGCCTTGAGGATTGACCTAGAACTTGGCCTGAAAGTCACCAAGTTGATCCTCAAAGGATGTTGGTGGTTGAACCAACATAAACAGGAAGTCAACCCAACATAAACAGGAAGTCAACCCAACTGAACTGAGGTTGAGCACACTCAAGACAATTGGATGATAGGAAGATATGCAAATATACAACCGACCAGAAAACAATGGAATCCCTGACATGTTCACAAGAAGAAAATCAAATGTTTGAAGAAAGACTTGAAGCCATATCACCCCATGCTTAATCTGACATTAATTTCATAGAGTCCAGAAGTGAATAAACAATTATTTTACATGTAAAAAATTTAATCTTGTATTTTTATCTGACATTACTGTGATATGATCCATCTCCCCCATTAATGGATCTGCCCTGAATCCATGTATTCAGGAGAACTCTGCTGATATGTAGAGTTTATTAAAGCTTACTGATAAGCAATACGTATTGTCTTGAATAATTCTACTACAATTACTAAACATTACACTATATTTCAATTTTTATAGATAAGTTCATTATTTTTTCATATGTTTTTAATGTAAAAACATCCAACCTCCATCAAGAAACTTGATATTATGAACCAGCTCTTAATGTTATATTCCTTACCAAAATCTGACTTTGTCAGTCTTTACTGAGCCTGCAATAAAGGTATTTACTAAGTTTATTTTCAACCACTAATCTCTTGGCATAAAAGCTAACAATCAGTTTGGCACCAGAGTCGATTAGAATGACATTAAAAGTTGATGATTGTAACAGATGACAAATTGCAATCTCTTCATCTGCCATTATCTGATGCAGAAAAGTGATTTTCATAAAATACTTCCATACTCAAGGCTGATAATTTGAGGGTTAGAAGATCACATGACCTAATCATCCAGTACAGTCGATCTAGTTGGCATGTGAAAGACTGAAGCAATTTTGCCAACTGCCAGATCAGAATCAGGTATCAGGAGATCTTTGAAGAGGATGTGTAAGGAAAAAAGGGACAAAAGCAAGTAGTTATATTTGATGCACTTTTATTAAATACCCATAACATGTCATTTGAAAATCATTATCATCATTATTATTATAGTTCTTTATACAAGAGGTAGCTACTATATCAGAAGCAATTCTCTTTAGACATCCTATATTTTTCTTAAATATATTGATTCTGTTTTCTTATACAATAAATTATAGTTTCTACTTTTTTTTTCAAATTCAAAATAACAGTCATTATTTTCATTGACAAAGGACACAGGCATGTCCAAAAAATCTGATTTTTAATATATTTCTTATCATGCTTCCATTTGGTCAAAACGCCTACTAATATACAATAAATGTTATTAGTCTTATTATCAATATTATTATTTTTGTTATTTATATCTCAAATTTCTTTCACAGGCCTGTTATATCTTCATATTACATACACAAACACACTCATGTATATTTATGTATGTGTGTGTTTGTGTGTGTGTGTATTTGTGTGATGATATAATTGGTGCCTGATCATATGTGAGGTTAACTTATATATATACATATGGGGTTAACTTATATACATACATACATATATATATATATATATATATATATATATATATATATATATATATATATATATACACACCGAAAATCTATGGTCGCTACGTAGACGATATCTTTATTTTAGCTGATAACATTAAAGAAATAGAGACACTTAAGACCACATTTAAGAAAAACTCCGTCCTTAACTTTACATATGAACTTAGCCAAAAAAACAAACTACCATTCTTAGATGTCCTTGTTGAACACAACAATAACACTTTCATTACATCATTATACAAAAAACCCACCAGCAAAAACTCTTGCCACCTTAATTTCAAAAGCGAATGCCCACTTAGGTACAAAGTAGCAGTAATAAAAAACTTCCTAAATAGAGCACACCAAAACTCATCCTCTTGACTACTCTTTCTCAAAGAACTTAACAACGTTAAACAAACACTAATCAACAACTGTTTCCCTAACTACCTTATAGACCAACAAATTAGAATATTCCTCCCCAAAGCAAGTAATAATGATAGCAAACACACAGCTAAGAATCATATACACATTTATTACAAAAACCAAATGCATATTAATTACAAACAAGACGAATCTTCTCTAAGGTATATTATAAAGAAATATACTACTCCTATTGATCCGAATAAAAAAATCAAACTTATTATCTATTATAAAAAATTTAAGATGGCCAACCTTATCCTCAAAAATAACAACACACCAACTAAGTCAAAATTACAAAGAACGAACATTATCTATGAGTTCAAATGCCCTTTAAGGAACTGCGTTCCTCACCAAACCGGACTCATAAATAATTACATCGGCTACACAACCACATGTTTATCCAGACGTCTTACATTACACCTATCTGATCACAGTTCCATCAGAACACATTTAAACACACACTCAGATTTACCCAACACTATTAGGAACATACTAGTAGAAAACACAAATATATTAACTGCATCCACTTGCAAAAAAGACTAAAAATAATGGAAGCTTTAATAATAAAAAAGAAAAAGCCAACTCTTAACAATATTAACTATGAACAAAGCTATAATGTGCTAACCGTATTCGGAAATTAAAACATCACTACCACACACTGAACATACACAGAATGCACACACTCTACTAAGCTGATAATCGAATCATCCTTGATAATGGCTAAAGGTATAGTCGAAAGCGCCGGAAATACAAAACATTTGGACAGTTCTTACACCCTTTGTCCAGAAAAAAAGCTCTCTCAGAACACAAGAAAAATTAAATAAAAAGCTCAACCGTAGTACCTTGTCTGTCGTTTTTAATGAAACATGCATATATATATATATATATATATATATATATATATATATACACACACACACACATATATTTTGCGCTTCTTAGGGCAAAAAGAATCCCAACACATGCATAAACCCAAAAAAGTAAACTTTCTATAAACTGAGGTACAAAAAGATGTTGGTGTACGATGCATCAATACATCCAAGAAAGTAAGTTTAGATTAGAGTTAATCTCTTTCTCAACAGTAAACCTCAGAGAAAGATGAAGATTATTAAGGAAGGAGAGAAATTGATCAGCCTCAGTTTCATCATTAAAGAAGCAAAATGTATCATCAACGTAACGATGATACAAAGAGGGACATAATTGTGTCAAACAATGGACCCCAAACTATCAGATCTCTTATGGTAATATAGCACATGTAAGAAAAAAAAAAAACACAAAAATAAATATTCCCTGCAAAATAAAGTCCCACTTCATTTTTCATTTCTTGTCTCATTAATGAAGGACACTGGCATATCTGAAAATTTTGATTTTTAATATTTTTCTCTTAAGGCTTTCATTTGCTCAAAATGCCTACAAATATACAATAAATGTTATTAGTCTTATCAATATTTATTTTTGCTGTTTTCTTATCTCTCAAATTTTTTCCATTGGCCTATTTTATATATATATATATATATATATATATATATATGGTATACGGGGACAATTGAAAACAATTCTTAGTTTTTTGTCAACGCATTTCATCTTGTGACTTTTTCAAGGTAAAAATGAAATCAAAATGTTTTTGTTGTTATAGTTACATTAAAAAATCATAATTTAAAAAAGGGAGAGAGACTTCTTTGTAAGCATCTTTCTGGTTAATATAAATTTCCTTTACACTAAGAGTTTTCTTTTTCCCCATGTTGACAATATAGAATTGATTTGGGAATTTAAATATATTGTTGACATGGAAAGAAAAAAAAACTCTTAGTATAAAGGAAATTTACATTAACCAGAAAGATGCTTACAGAGAAGTGTCTCACTCTTTTTTAAATTTGGATTTTTTAATGTAACTATAGCAACAAAAAATTTTGATTTCATTTTTGCCCCCAAAATTGTCGGAAGACAAAACGCGTCAGCAAAAAACTAAGATTTTTTTTCCATTTGTCATCTTATACCAATTTATCTTATCCACAGAATTGATCTAGGAATTTAACAATATATATATATATATATATATATATATATATATATATATATATATAAAATGTTAGCATGAAACAAAGGGTTACAGTTATAGGCCAGCATTTCTGAATCTATTTCTGGTCATTATTATTACAGCTGTCTTGATTTACTTTGCCACAGAAGTTCATTTTAAGTTTCTAACAGTCAATACTGCAATCGCAGCAGACATGATTGTCAGAAGTAAGACCATTTAAACACTACTTTAAAAGAAAACAGATGTAGCATTCTATCATAATAATGTATAGCCTCATAGAGCGCAAAGATCACATCTAAAAAACAGTGAAGACTCTGACTAGGCATTTCACAACTTCTACCTTATTCACCAAATCTTGATCCACTTGCTTACCATCTAATCCACAGATTGCAGACCCATCTTGTAAGGAAGGGGAAACAAACTTATCTACATACTTTTCATCCAAGGACAAACATAAATGGCGTTATAAAAGTTGAGAATCAGTGAAAAAATGTTATTGATATATTAATCTATATTAATGAATAAATATTAACCAATATTAGTGAATAAATTCTAATTAAATATTAATTTTTAGTATGTTTTCTGTTTTGATTGATTCATTTTCTACAGCTTATCAACCCTTTGCAGGTTATTTAAAGTTAAGAAATATTTTTAGATTGTAAAAATCTTATAACATAATGATGGATTAGTGATACAAATTTTACTAATTAACTCATAGCTGAGGTGTTCTCATGAAGTGGATTCATGCCTTTCCCAAGGGTATTTGTGCGTAAGTGAATATAATAAACCTGACTGGAATTGGAACTCGGCTGTCTGAATAGCAATGCTGCACCATTATCTATTACACTAATTGCACATCCAAGCTTACAGCACCTGGTATTCTCATGTGGTCACTCATCTAGGTACTGACCAGGTTCAATATTGCTTAACTTTGGCGATTGTATGGGAACTGGTGTTCCAACATGATGTAGCCAAATTCAGTATGTTTGTGACCTGATATTTGGACTTTATAAAGAGGATGACCTGATAGAATTAACTGTAATCTCTGATTAGTAATCCTGAATTATTATCCATTACACCACCTGCAGATCAAAGCTTACAGCACTTGGTATTCTCAAGTGGTCACCCATCGAGGTACTTCTTCTTGTTCTTGTTCTTGTAACAGCATTCACCCGGGGTGGGTTGAGCTGGCTCCAATATTGGAGTTTCATGGGAATTTGGAATTCACAAGCGGTCCCCAACCCGCATGTATAGCACATGAGATTCGATTATAGTGGTGAAGGTTTTGTACAGGACCATCCACACTTTTTGAAGGGCCAATTACAGAGACCTGGTGCACTACGTGCCACAAGGTCCCTGAACGACCCTCCGCAGGTTTTGGATTCAGAGTTTTCCTTCTCCTAGACCAGTTGCCATCCAAGGCTATAGAATCCAGTCTGTCCTGCTATTTTACCCATAGCTGGAGGAAGAAGAAGAGGATTCACACCTTTCCCAAGGGTATTAGCACATAAGTGAATGTAATGGATTCGACTGGAATTTGAACTCGGCTCTGCGATTCCTCAATCCAAGCTGCTATCCTTATCCATTACTCCACCGTGCATTGTGGTACTGACCAGGCTTAATGTTGCTTAACTTTGGAAACTGGTGTTTCAATGTGATGTGGCCATAAATGTTTTCTGTCCTGGTTTGTGGACTTTACAAATGATCTTGATATTTAAGAATGATATTAAATATTCTGAATATGTTTTTTTTAATATTGCACATTCAGAATAAATTACTGACTTCAATTTTTATTGCAAAAAGAATTTTTTTAAATTTAAGGCACACTATACTATGTTTTGTGATGTCAATTTTTGAAAGATTTATTTGAATTTTATGAATGTTTGTGAATTTGAATTTTGGGAGGGTTTTATATGGTAATCACCATGAGAAAGAAAATAATTCAATTACACATCAATATGGTTGAATGGTTTTGGTATTTTCAAAGCAAAAAAATGTAAAGATCTGATGTAAGATATATATATAAATTTTCATTTGTTGAAGTAATATCTACAAATAATTATAAATTTTATCTCTCATCTTGCTTCTTATTATGATTTAGATTCTGTGGTAAATGCCTTTTGCCAAGAATGCATTCACACTTACAAAGAAGCATAAGAAAAATCATTATTCTTATAGTTTTCATTTCCAAGGGATATTTCCTTATATCTAATTCAATTACATTGAGAAAAGGTATGAAGTTAGTTGATTTTTGCTTAAATCAAAGTCCATTATATCAGATAGATGTGATTCAATTAACACTATTGTGGAAGGCATGATAATCAGATAAAATACACATTTCCTTTTACTGTTCAACATAAAAAGGCCATCAAGTGAATCAGATCATTCATTTAGTTATCTACATTGTTGAATGGTTAAGGTAGTTGTATGCTTGCCTTCAGCAACTGCAGTCAATGTCTAGTGTTTCCAATGCTGATTTTTAAGGTAAGTATTGCCTCCAACATGATCACTTTACCTCCTAAAAGTCAGTACATTCATCCACTTGTAAAATCTGAAATACCTATATAGTATAAAGATAGATAGATAGATAGATAGATAGATAGATAGATAAGCAACCACAGATTGCCATTTGGCTATAAGTCAAACTTCTGAAGGGAAAATATTTCTCTATTTCTTTGGTTAATTTTGATTGATTGTTTTTTATGGCTTATCAAACTTTTGCAGTTTATTTAAAGCCAGAAAATATTTGTAGATTGTAAGATCTTTTTAAGATAATAATTATTTACTGATACAAGTCCTACTAATTAACCTATAGCTAGGGGAACAAACAAACGTAGATTGGAATTGGAACTCAATTCTCCAATATAAAATAACAAATTGTTATTCATTGCACCACCTGCACATCTGAACTTACAGCACCTGGTATTCCCAAGTGGTCATCCATCCAGGTACTGACCAGGCTCAACATTTCAGTGATTGTACAAGAACCGGGTTTGCTTTCTGTATTAGAGAAAAAATACTTCCCAAACTAAGATGTTTCCTTCATTTTGTTTTCTATAGTCCCAACATTTTGGCTGTTCTATCCTCCAGCCTATTTTAGGTACCAATTGTCCTTCACCCGATCCTATAAACTGGCTTATAAAATTCCTATAGAGCTTTACCAAATAGCAAAAAACACATCATTTGAACACTTTCAACAATAATAACAACAAAAATGGGTAGCACATTTAACTAGAAGAGCAAATAATGATATAATGAAGCAGTTAACTTTCCACACTAGCAAAAATAAAATGTTTAGAAGAAAATTCCTGTTAGTATCAGAAAAAGCTATAACATTTAGTGGAATTGAGAAGTTTAATTTCCTGAAAAGACATTTTAGTAAAATGATTAAAATAAATTTCATCCAATTGTAACACTAGCTCTTTGGTCAATGAATGTCAAATATTTCCTCTATGGAAATGGTTAATTCTATTATTACCATTTCTAATATTCTTGGAACTTCAAAGTGAACCCTTTATTCAGTCTATGGGGGTAAAATGTTCTCATTTTATTGTCCATACCAGAGGATAATCTTAGTTAATTTTTCCTTTGGATGTCATTTTTGTTGTTCATTTCATTAAAGCAGCATATATAGATTCCACTTACCTGGCCCAAACATTGAACTCATGGCCATCAAATAAAGTGTATAAACTTAGCCAGTGCTTATATCCACTAGTTTAGGTGGTATAAATTTGAATCTTTAAGCCTCATGTCAGTTTTTCCTAATCATTGGCCTAGTGGATATAAATATCTGTTACGTGTTGCAGCTCATGTCAGGTCATTCTACAAGTGCTACAGATGTCATGTAACTCAGTATTACCTGTGTTGCAAAATATGGCAAGGGTATGTTGAGGTTGGGGTAAATACCTAACCAATTGCTCTCCCAAAAACAATGGGGTAACAGGCAGAAAAAAGGAAAGACATGGGGGGGGGAGCAGGGAACAAAAGCAACACTGTCTCAGAAATCATGGTACGGGATTTGAGGAACAAACTGTTTAAGGGACCAACTTCACAAGACACTGAGTCTTGTCAAATGCTGACTGTTGGATTTCCCATTACTTTTATTGACAGCAAACAACTGACAGAAACCTGGATCTAGACAAGTTGCAGAGAGGCCTGTATCTGAACATGCCAAGTTGTTTTGGAAAAACCTGGATGTAACTTGTGTTGACAGACATGTCTGCATGCAAGCCAGGGCCTCTTTTACAATTGTACTGATGCACATTTGCTACAACCTGCTCAGGTCATTGACAGCTAAACTGGTTCTAATTACCAGGAATTTCTGATGAGGAAGTGGGAGGGGGCTAGACATCAAGGAGGATTTAAAACAAAACCTATCAAAGGGCAGATGAACAATCTTCTAGAGTCAACAGCCATCTTGCACAATAAAGTAAACTGAGTTCCATAGCTACGTATGAAGCCTTTGTGGTGATGAGCCTGCATAATCAGAGAGCTTTCTAGACTAAAGTAAATGACCAACATGGAGAGTTCTTCAGATGGAATCAATGGCAAAGTGTCCATGACAAAGTCCAAGGTGGAGGATGTCATCCATAGTTTAACTTGGAGAGCACTGGATCCAACCAAGTTTACTTGCCTAAGACACACAACATATGAATGAATATCACCCCAGCTTTCAACCCAGATATGTAGAAGGAACAGGTCAGGTACTCAGCTGCACATTGACCCTACAACCTCACCTAGTCACGGAACTGATGATGATGATCCTGTTTAACTGGTTGTAACTAATATGAGTTATCTGTAAGCATGGGAAGCAGAAACAGAACAGTCTACATCTATAGACTGAATAAAGAGTTTAATTTGATATTATTTTTGAATATGACAGGCACTTGATGAAGGTACTATGGCTAAAAATGTTGTGACTATAACAACAAAGATGGAGACAACAGTTTAAATGAGTCAGTGTATAAAAATAATAATAAATAAGACAGTGAAATAAAGTATTTGATAAAAAAAAATGTGGATTTGATAATTTATAAAAATAAGTTGATTGAAAATAATTATTCACTAAGAAGAGCTTTGATTTAGTTTATGTTCACAAGTATGAGACACCTAAGGAGGATTGAACTCATTACTAATTGATCTGCAAGACTAGCTTGCTAACTATTATACCATGATGTTCTTAAAACTATGATATTGTTGTCTTAAACTTTTTACAGTTGCATTGTCTGCATTGTAGGTCCTACCAGTATTAAGTTACAACTGTAAAATATGATATTTTAGAAAAGTCAACCTGAAGTCTTTACTTATTTAAAACTTTTTTAATTAACTGTTAGAAAAAGAAATAAATAAAAACAGAGCAAAAGCAGAACTGATAGGACATTTAACTGCAAACTTTGCTGGTAGCTCATAGCAACTTGCAATCAAAATTACTGTGGATGTGTTTTCTTTTCTCCTGTAGTTGAATATGGCAGCTTCTAAGTAATTCAATTAACAGCAAGATTTATCAGACAAATTACAAAAAAAAAAAATGATTCAACATGATAATCTGCAGTGGAGGGGGATAAAATTTTATTATGGCTTTAAAGACAGACATTGTAAAAGAATATGTTCACATAATATATAGAAAAAAATTCTGAAATAAAAATTATTATGAAAGTTTTATTTGAAAATGGATACTGTCTTGATATAGTGCAATCTAGCATTTGTACCAAAATTGTCCAATTTAATAACCCCAAATTGTATGGTATACAAAAGTGTCCTATCTGTTTGTGATTACATTGGATTGGTGAGGTTGGCACAAATAGAATGTCAAGCTTTGTCATTTTTTTCCAGTCTATAGTTTGTTTTCCCTGTCAAAATCAGTTCATAAAGAACCTCACACCATGTTAGCTCAGTGATTTATGATTTTAAATGTCAGTATTGTTGTAACCTAGAAAGGGTTACTGAATGAGGAATAACCAAAATGGATGTTG